TGTGTTTTGTTTTCCATAATTTTACACGTGTTTCTGGTCTCGTGACCGTCTTCAGGTAAAAGGCGGAGATTTCCACATATTAAAAATAATTAATTTTTTCCTTATGTTTTTCAATGTTAAATATTCTCGATATGAGACATTCTCTGTTTTTGTGTTAGTAATCCGAATGTCTTTCTCGAATCATCAATACCCTTTTGTTTGATTGACTGTCTTATTGAACAACTTATCTACTCTATTCTATAAACTATATGAAGCATACGTGGACTTCTTTTTTCTAATATATAATATATATATATATATATATATATATATATATATATATATATATATATATATATATGTATTAGGTCAGCAGATCATTATTTAAACATATATTATTAAATATAACAGACAATGAATGTCCATTATGCCTGATCATGAGTTGTTCTAATGTTTGCTTTAATTTCTGGTGAAAATAAAGACAAATTCTCCAAAATTTGAATATTGTTTTTATTAAGTTGGTCCTAAGCTTTCGGCTTACATGAGCCATTCTCAGAGTGATTATACAGACATGAAACAGATATCCACTGTCTAAGATAATATCTTATGATTTTGACATAGAAAATTGCTGTGCAATGATAATGGTCGTGGAATAGCAGACACAGGTCATAAGTTTGAGATGTGGTTCTATGATGTCAGACCATGCGATTCACCGAAGTATTACAACAGAACCAATGTCCAGATGCAATGTAATTTGTTTTGAATGTTATATTTAACAATATATAACATTTCAAACTAGTCACAACACATTACATTGCATCTAGACATGGTTCTGTTGTTACTATTTCGTTCTCTCATGTTGTAATATTTTCATGTCTAAATTTTACTCGAAAATAATATTTAAGTTGCAAATTGTTACATTTTCATAAAGATTAATCACTGACACATCTCCACTGAAAAAAAAGTTTTACAAAAATTCCAACACAATATAAAGAACAGATTGTCTGAAGATTTTGTTTTTTAAGAGCAGTTTTTCATTTTTCTGGAAAATTTTTCATGTGTTGAAATATTTAAACAGTTTTATTTTTACACCACCATTTTCTCGGTTTTATCTTTCTAGAAATTCAAAAAATAAGGACAATAAATTTTATTTTAATTACTAGCTGAGGACTTCTTGTTACTATTACTATTAGTAAAAAAAAAAAAAAAAAATCAGTTTGGTCTCATTAGGTTTTCATTCCATTAACAGAGGATTAATAATCACTAATTTTTTCTTTAGTCTTGAGTTGTCATGACTATTTTATAAGTTAAATGTTTACAGTCATTTATAACCATTTCTTCCCCAAGCAAGGTGATAAAGCCACTATTGCATGGGGGAGGGGATCTTTTTATTTCTTAGTATTGTTTATTGACTAGTTTGCTTACCCTCCTTTTCCTGATTACAAAATGATCAAATTTTGAAACTAAACTGTTAATTTAGAATACAATATTTATATATTCAGTTTAAATACACAAGTTGTAAAAATGTTACTGAAGGGTGAACAAACCCTGCTGTAAAGATTGGGTCTCATTTGATCATCAAATTTAAGCAGTAATTCTGTTTATCATCAGAATACAACGGCCACTCTTATTTTTCTGTGGGGTGGACAGGTCCTTCTAACAATTTATTTTGAGTTTGAATAGGTCATGAATCAGATTAGCTAGGTATAGGATAGTCAGTTACGACCAGCCTTTCCCCCACTTCTCTTTTGGCCTTGTGCCACAATTGTATTTCTAAATAAAATAAACATCAGTTAAGCAGTCTGTACACATGGCCCAGTGGATAAAAGCGTTAGTTAAATTCAGTGACTTGTCCCAAAGTTGAGAGTTCAATACCTGGCTACAGCAGAGGTGAACAAAAACTTGGAGAGTTGAGTTAAAGGGAGATAACTGGAAGAGGCATGACATGTGGAACTAGAACAATCTACCCCCATGGATGAAATAAAAGTTTCAGTTCAATTCAAAATTCCAATCACCTGAAGAAGCCAGGAACGTACAACAGCTGAGACATTGTGAATACCGCAACAAAGATCAGGACAAAGTCCGAACAATGTAAATAGTGTAAATAAGCTGCAAATGGTTGATAAGACAAAAAAATCAATCGGTCAAAGAGCTGGCTTATAATCCTTTTCTCTTACCCAGAGGTTGTTGCTAGATAATCAGAAAGTAGCCCTTCAACTGAGATATTTATCACCAATATCACTCGAGTTGTGTGGAGGTTTACATTTGCTTATATATTTCAATTCAGTGACAAACTTAAAAATATTTCTACAAAATTTAGATAAAAACTTTGCTTAATTTAACTACCAAGTAATTTGTCAAAATTCCTACAGGCCAGTAGCTTAACAGATAAAAGTGTTGGTTTGGTGACATAGTAATTGTAAGTTCAATCCCTGAGCTGGGTAGTGTGTTGTTGGACTCTACAGAAACAGTGAGCAATAAATGAGCAGTACTAAAAATAAAACAAGGCAAGATGTCCCTAGACAAGGACAGTGTGTGTGTGTGTGTGTGTATATATATATATATATATATATATATAACATATATATATATATATAGAAAGAACAGGATGTTCTTATAGATATTTTTATTTTTACAAAATAGTGCTCAATGTAAATTTACAGAGCATTAATATTATAAATTAATTGATTTAAAATATGGTTTTTTTTTCACTACACGTTTCCAACTGTAACCATGGAAACGTGATTTTAGCTGTGTCTTTAAAACCCGGTAATTTTTAAAAGTTACTCCAAAATTCGCTTGAAGATGAAATGGAACTAATGCTTTTAATTTAATTGCAAAATTAAATTGGGTTTTAGCTTCTATTTTTGAAACATGGTTGGAACTGTGTAGCGAAAAAAAACATATTTTAAATCAATTAATTTATAATATATATATATATATATATATATATATATATATATATATATATATAAAATAAAGGGTGTTCCAACAACTTGGGCCGATTTTTTAAATGTGAATTAAATTTAAAATTGGTCCAAATTATTGGCATACCCTTTATAATAGACAACAAATGTCTATTATGTTTGATCGTGAGCTGTTCTAAACTTTGTATACTTGCTTTAATTTCGGGAGCAAATAAAGACAAAAATTGTCCAAAATTCAGATATTCTTTTTATTATGCTGTTCCTTGTCTAAGCTTTCAGCTATCTTCAGAGTGGTCATATGAAAAAAATATATATATTTTCTATATTAAAATCGATATATAAACTTATCCCACACCTTGTAGCCATGGCAGTTTCTGCACATTTCTAGTCCAGAGAGGCATGCCATACTGTGTTCATTATGGTAAATCACTCCTGCCTTTCTTTTGGTTTTCTCTTGAGATATATATATATAAAAATATTTTTGAAGGTACAAAATCTAATTACAAAAATGAAAGTGTGTAGCTTAATATTACAAGACATTTTAAAAGTGAATCAAGCAGTTCCGCTTCTGCTCCCGCTCTTCAGGCCTCTGCAGGAGATTTAACTTAAATTAAAACAGAAAAATGTGTAATGTGAAGCGGGGGAGGTTGAACACAGAGACCTAGACAAATAACGAGCCCCAACAAACATTCACGCAAAGGAAGGTTTGCGGTACCGGATATAAAGTGCCTCCAGCACCTTCAGATGAAATAACAAGTGCGACCGACACAGAACAGTGAACCAGTCAGCACTAAAATTAACAGCACACTCTATGTTATTTAAGAGGTAATCACATAATAATATATATATATATATATATATATGTGTGTGTGTGTGTGTGAATAAAAATGACAATAGAAAAAACTAGCAATTGCTGACACATTTTGTCCAATGTGGACTTTATCAAAGCAAAATACAAAATGAATTTAAGTGAACAAGGTAACTAACAAAAACAGAATGTTCCCAGCAACTGGAATGTAGAGAAATGCTATTTTCATATTGTTAACTGAAAATAACGTCAGTATTTGTCACGTGTGGAGAATATTGTCATTATATCTGAGTTGATGTATTCAACCATTTTCTCTTGATTTTATGAGTCTGTTGTGTACATTTGTTTGTGAGAGCAGTAATTTTGTTAAGAAAGGTGAAATGGGGAAAAAACCTGGGCATAGATTAATATTTGGGTAATATTCTATGGCGGCACTCTCTAGAATTTTCCAAGTTAGTTTTTTTTTTTTTTTTTTTTTTTGTTTTTTTTATGAGTGTAGCATTTTTAAAATCAAAATTATGGTTGAATTTATTTCTATGTATGACTAGTGCATTAGCTAAGTTGTTTTTGTGAGGTCTTTTCTACTGGTTAAATCGGAGAAATTTTCATTATATATATATATATATATTACTCGGGCAGGTTGATATTCGAGCAGTAGTGTTGCACTCAATTTGAAAGTTGAAGTTTGATATGATAATGGCAAAAAATATTTTTGTTCCAAATTATTAGTTTTTTTTTTTTTTTTTTTTATGGAAACCAGTTTAAAGATTAAATTTTGAACACTTGGAATGTTAGAATTTCATTCCAGTGATCAGTGAAAGCCTTATAGCACAGCCTTATAAATGGCTGAAACATTGTGATGAAAACAATAAAGATGAAGACAGTAGTCCAGATATAGTGTAAATAACAATCTTTTATTGTCCTCTCTGCTTAATAATTTCTTTTTTTTTTTTTTCTCAAACTCTTTCACTTTCAGATATTAACCATTTGCGTCTTAGTGGCTTTCTTGCCTTGCTTGAGGGGAAATGATTAAAAAAAAAAAATGCTGTATATATGGAGGATTGGAAAGGATATACTCTGCTAAGAGTTCCTTCCTTAGAATTAAATGATAGCTGAGTTGAAGGAAGCAATTATCGAAAAAGCATCCAGAATTACTCTACAGAAACAGTATAATTATTCCATAAGGTTAACATTTAACAATGGCCGCACAAAACTGTTACAGGCTGGCAGTGAAGTTTTTGACGTTTTCTCTGTATTTACTATTTTGATACCCGTTATTTCGCTTACATTGAAACACTGGTTCCTGTATGATCACCAAAGTTAAGTAATGTTGAGCCTGGTCAGTAGCTAGGTGAGAGACCCTTGGGAATATCAGGTGTTGTAAGCCTGGATGTACTGGTGATGTTATTATCAAAGAAACAGAAAATGAAATGGGGGGGGGTGATTTAACATAATAAACACAGTATGGCATGCCCCTCTGGACTAGAAATGTGTAGAAATTGCCATAGCCACAAGGTGAGGGATAAGTTTATATATCGATTTTAATATAGAATTAATCCTCCACTTTATATCCACATTATAATTTCTTGTTTGTTGATAAGCCATAGAAAACGAATAAATCAATCAATCAATGAAATACTGATTAGCTACACAGGCATGTCTTTTAGATTTATTTACATTCTCTGGAATAAAAATGTACAGAAATTACCGTGGTCAAAAAATGAGGGATCAGTTTTTACATAGGTTGTAATATAGAATTGATCACCCACTTCATATTCACATTACAATTGCAAATCAAATTCTGATTAGGTATGAAGCCACCTCTTCTTTCCCTCAGCTATGGGTTAATTAATAAAACTTGTGTCACTGATCCCTTATTATCTCCAAAAATTCTTACAATCTTAAAATATTTTCCAGCTTTAAATAACCTGCAAAAGGTTGATAAGCTGTAAAAAAAAAACGAATTAATGCATTTAAAATCTAAATTCTGTGTCCATTGTAAAATACTCCATTTATTCAGTTTAAATACAGGAGGGGTCAGGAAAAGGACTTCAAAAGACTAGCTTATACTCATTTTTTATTACCCAGGGTTTGTTGCCAGACAGAAAGGAAAATTGGTGGGGAGGCACAATGGAGAGCATCTCAGATTGAGGATTTGAAGAGCTGAGTTTGAATTCCAGTTGAGTTCGTTTAATTTACTTACATGCAAATACCCTTGGGAAAAGTATGAATCGATCTCTTCTCTCCACCATTATCGGTAAATAACAGAAGAGACTGAGTTCTATAGTGTTGAGTAGCAACTAGTCTAGGAGACGGACAGTTCTGAATTCGAAACCTCCAAATATGGGTTAAATAGCCTCACCAACTTGCAATTAGCCAAGTGTGTTTATTACATCTACGTCCCTGTAGACGTGATTAATCAGGAGGGGTCCACAACTGTTTCTATGGTAACTGAGCTAACATACACAGTGAAGCCATGTGGCACATAATGACCTTGAACTCTGTTACACATGCACACATAACATTCTCACTCACTTTTGTCATTTATTGCAGTGCTTGGAAGGAGAGTGTGTAGCATGTGGTGAGCATGGCATGTGCAGCAGTTTTTGGCTAAACACAACATTCCCCAGGTTTCACAACCACCATATTTCCCAGATCTCACTCCTTGCAACTTTATTCTCTTCAAAAATCAAATCCCACTTGAAAGGAAGATTTCAAGACCTCGAGGAAATCCAAGAGAATGCAACAAGGTAGCTGCTCATTATCCCCAAAAAAGGAGTTCCAGGAAAGCTTCCATCAATGGAAACGACACTCGATAAAGTCAGTGGCTTCAGGAGGGGACTACTTGGAAGGTGATTAAAAACGAAATTGATACATGTTGTAGTTTTCTTTTTATAGCAACATGTCCAATACTTCTTGATCAGACCTTGTATACTCATGTGTTTTAATTTAATGAAGGACCTAAAATATGTTTTAGAAAAAATTAAAACTGTTATTGAAAAATTTCCATAAAGTTCAATAAAATCTCATAATTATTTGATTTTCAAGATTTAAAAAAAAAAAATTTTTTTTCATGATTTTATTGCTCAGCCTTAGGTAAGTGTTGTCTAGACTTAGTGGAAAAGGAATGTATTATTCCAATGTCTTGTTTCAAATTTATTCAAATTGTGTGTGAGTTTGTATATTAAATGGCACAAGCACATGTAGGTCACTGACATTGTCATTATCTCTCACTGGGTGGCTCCCTCACAGCTCAAAGTGGATTGAGATGTGCGAGATCTGGCAAACCTGGTTGCATCGGGCTGTCAGATGCTTGGTCTGTCAAGGTCTGCTTTGGTTATGCCAGCCTGACTGGCACTGCTTTCTTCCACCAGTTTGGCCATTGAGATTGTGTAAATCTTTGCCTATTCTGCTGTTGGGGTGGGGGGGGTCTTCAAAGTCAAAGAGGTACATTTAATAATGAACTGTTCACTTCGATGTCCAGTGTAAAATATATATGTTCGTTCCTTGTCATGGTAGAGGGCTTGTCTGTCTGAGTGATCCCAAGAGCAAAGTCATCTGTAGTTCCAACTCCTGGGGGGAGAAGAGGATTCATACCTAAGTGAATGTAATGGATTCGACTGGAATTTGAACTCTGCTCTGATTCTTCAATCCGAGCCACTATCCATTACTTCGGCTCCTCTCTTTTCTAATGTAGACTAGATATTAAACCTTTTTGGTTTTTTTTTGTTTTGTTTTTCATTATACAATTCTTTTAAATAAAATATTCCCAGGAAGATTGCCAAAGGAACTCGAAATAATTCTTTGGGAAATCTTTGTATAAAATTGTCAAAAAAAACAAATGGTGAATGTACATTAATGTTGAACTAATAATTTTTTTTATACTACTTTTCACCTAATGATTTTTAGTAAATTACTTTTATTTGTCTTTAATAGAATAAGTGTAAGCAGAACTTGATTCTTGAGTACGTTTTTGTGTGTGTACAGGTATGTGTATATGTCTTGGTGAGGGAATCAAGTCATTACTTACCACTTCAAGCTGAGCACGTGGCCATGTTTCTGACCAGATAGAAATTATTTTTGTGTTTGCTTCTTTTTTTTATGGAAGAGTGTGCATTGTTGGTGAACTGAAAATTATCTGGGAGTGGGCTATAAATTGCCAAGAGTAGTTGCAGTGTGTAGTTATAACAGAAGGTACACAAGTCAATACCCGATCAATATTGAGTGGGTCCTCATGGAGAGGCAGTATGATGTTGAAAGACCCGAAACCCCTAATGAACTTCGGCTAAAAACATCATTGATGTATACCAAAGCATCCAATAGATGTATTTTATGAAATTTAAGTCTATGAAAAAACTCTATATATTTTTTTTTTTTTTTTTTTTTTTTAAATGATCTTTAATAAATTATTTAGATTTGTTTTTAAAAAATCTACAAAATTTTCATACTTTTGAAAACCTGATCCTTATTAGTCTGTCTATATTTCTGAGATGGGGTATCATGTACACTATTTACATTATTCGGGCTAATGTCCTCATCTTTGTCGCCATATTTATCACAACTTTTCGGCCTTTGTTCGCTCCGGCCTTCTTCAGGTGGTTGGAATTTCGTGCCACAGTGGATAAAGGCGTTGGTTAGATCCAGTGACAAGACCCAAAGAGTGTGAGTTCAATACCCGGTTAAGGCAGTGGAGAACTTTCAGAGGGAAATTAGCAGGAGATAACTGATAACTGACATCCATCAAAAACATGGCACGTGGAACTAGAACAGTCTACCCCAGTGATCGAAATAAAGGGTTCAGTTCAAAATTCCAACCACCTGAAGAAGGCCGGAGCGTACAATGGCCGAAACCTTGTGATAAATATGGCGACAAAGATGAGGGCATTAGTCCGAACAATGTAAATAGTGATCTTTATTAAATTTTATTCGGTTTTAAAAAGTTATGTTTTAACAATGACCCTTAATAAATTACTTTTATTTGTCTTTAAAAAGTTGACAAAAGATTCCATAGTCAGCATGTAGTTGAGTTGTCCTTGTGCTGTGTCGGCTGGTGGTCAGTCGTTCTGAACCCACATATCACATATGGCATTTAACTGATTGACTGAAGCAAAATTTGAAACTTGACATTTGTAAATTGGAAAGGTTTCCTGATGAGTGTGTAATTGGCCCCTCCTGAAGAAATAATACAGAAGCAATGGGATGTTATATTATATAATGTCAGGTGAAAGGTTTGGAGAAAGCCTCGTTGTATGTTTGCACATAAGGCTACTGTGTATTTGGTTTTTCCTATATAATATTAGCCCTAGGTTAGTTTATTATTTATTTTAGAGGTGAATGACTTTGTGTTAAGAGTGCTGAAAATTTTCATCTTAAAAAAAAAAAACAAAAAAAACTACATCCTGTTGATACAGCTTAAAATCTCTTTGACAAAAAAATAGCCTCGCAACTCTGGGTCAAGTCGCTTTTCAGATCAATCAACCAACGCTTTTATTCACTGGACATGTGTCCTTGGAAACATTCATGATTTAATTTTTAGGACTTATAAACCAAATGTCTCTGTAACCATTTTTACCAGAGCTCATATTACAGTTATTTCTGTTATTTTTTTTTTTTTTTTTTTTTTTCTAGCTCTGTATTACTGGTTACCATTTCTATGCTTGGCCAGCTAAGATTTTTATAATCTAACATATGTGCTGATTCCTTAAGCTTTCATATTTTCCAATGATGTTCTCTGTCTATTGTTTCAACATCGTTCCACAGAGGGCAGTGGTCTACCTTTTCTCTCTCCATATATCTCCAAAGAGTTGTGAGTTCAATCCCTGGCCTCACTGGAGAGAACTAAAACTGAGATATCCAATGTCATGGTACATGGAATTAGAACTGTAGAGCAAGTGACCATTGGTAAACATAAATGAATGGTAGAACGGCTCAATAAACAAGCTTGAATACAGACAAAATTTGATCTTCATTGCTCTGTGGTCAAGGAACACAACGTGGGGCAGAAGCAAATGAAACATCAAGCATATAAGCGGCAGTACTGACCAGCATGGGAAGGACCCGGGATTGAGCCGGGCATGCCCTCTTATACTACTAAGAGAGAAAAATAAAAATGTGGAGTGAGTAGCCATGGTCAAATGCAAATTAACAGAACTGGCCAGCAAATAGAATTGACAAAGTTTGTAATAAAACAATCACAAGAAAAAAAAAGAACAGAGCAAAATATAATATAAATCAAGCAAACAATATATGCAAGGCAACGCAACAGGAATAAGGCAAAAAGTTCACAAAACAAGAAATTGGTTTGGCACACAAGAGCAAGTTCAGACAAGCAAACATAGCATTCTGACTTAAAAAAAAAAGACAGACCAGGACTGAGTCGTATGAAA